ATAAAATACATTATGTGGAAAGCATAAAATGTAGTACAAATTAAGGCATTAATAGTAAAATTTACTATAAACTACCAAATAAGTCACTATACATGAAGTAGCAAACAAAATATTTTATGCACAACCACAAATCCTCACAATGTATGAGTCCATACTGTACATAGGACTAGGAAAAACATCTTTGGGGCCAAAAATATTTCACATGTTCTTGGTACGGAAATATTTGCTCATGATTGCCGTGATTCTAATAGTGTATCTATATAACAATTCATGCCGAACCTCATAGATGTGTACTATGCAATTCACTTCATGTTTACGGTAGCAAAATTTCCTGGTCTGAGAAAAATGGACACAATATAACGTTATATTCACTGTGGCGACAGGTGCAGGAAAAAGAAAGTCCAGGAATTATTTGTTAACTGTAATGATAAGTTATGTACAACCCCACTTAAGCTCCTGGGAACAGGGGCTTAAGTGTTGTCTGTCCTCGGGGCTGGGAGTGCCAAATCCCAAGTGCCGGAAAGATCGACCCGTAGCCCCCCTTCCCTGTTGAGGGTGGGGTGTACATTATTTCATATATTGCCTCTTTAACACCCCGTTCCCACCAGCGTGTTTCGCGGTCTAAGATATCCGTGGACTCAAGTTTGAAAGAGTGACCCTGGTTGTGTTGTAGGTGGTGGAAAATAGCTGAGGAGTAGCCGTTGGCACTAGGTCGGCAATGTTCTTTGTATCTTACTTTGAGCGGTCGACTTGTCTCTCCGATGTAGGTGTTGTTACAATTGGGCTCCTCACATTTGAGTCTGTAAATAACATTCGCCTTGGTACCTTTGTGAGGTCGGTCCTTAGGGTGTACCAGTCTTTGTCTGAGGGTTGAGTGAGGTTTGAAGTTAGTGGCTATGTTGAAGTTTTGGAAGATCCGTCGGAGTTTCTCAGAGACTCCTTGGACATACGGAATAGTGATGTTGACCTTTGTTTTTGTTGGTCAATGGTTTGCAGTTCTGGGTTTTCTTAGACCGATCCGAAGGTTTGAGTGCTTTGTTGAAAGTCCAGTTTTGGTAGCCACACTTAGCCAGGGCACCTCGGAGGTGTCTATGTTCATCCGTTTTGGCTTGGTCTGAAGTGATAATGTTGTCTGCACGATGGAAGAGAGTTTTGATCACTGCTAGTTTGTGTTCCAAAGGGTGGTGGGAATCAAAGGCCAGGTACTGATCAGTGTGGGTTGGTTTCCTGTATACTTCGAAACGAAGGTTACCATCTTCCTCTACGATAGTTTTGGTGTCTAGGAAAGGGAGCATGTTGTCATGACTTGGCTCCTGTGTGAACTTGATGTTGTCATCTATCTGGTTGATGTGGTCAAAGAAATCAGCAGCTACCCTCTTTTTCAACCTGCACGATCCGCAAAAGACCCGAAGTGGCCACGGCCGACATCCCTTGAACCGACGCCGAAATATTGAGTACTGTCGTTCATCATTAGCAATGTCCCACAACAACAACAACAACAACACATGACGACAACAACAACGGTAACCGTTACTGTCGTTCCTCATTAGCAATGTCCCACAACAACAACAACACATGACGACAACAACAACGGTAACAGTTACTGTCGTTCCTCATTAGCAATGTCCCACAACAACAACAACACATGACGACAACAACAACGGTAACAGTTACTGTCGTTCCTCACTAGCAATGTCAGGGTATCAGGTTACCACTGTGCACACGGGCAGGGTATCAGGTTAGCACTGTGCCAGAGGTTAAGGACACAGCGACATTGTCATAAGTCTCATTGTCCGCCGAACAGTTTAGTCACGGTCCGTGTGCAGTGATACGGCCCGCCGCCAGGGGGCATTGTTCTCCGCTGACCCGTGACAGAGGGCGTGTGGTAACCTGATACCCTGCCCGTGTGCGCGGAACGTAGCTCCAAGCAGACGTTTGGCGTGAATATGTCTTGTTGCGTTCTTGAGAATTTCCATTTCTTCCTGGGAACATAAAACACAATAACATACAACAAGGTACGGCATGTTCTTTCCATTGCTGTAGCTGCGGACGTGTTCACGTGGCACCCGCCATAAAACATACTGCAAACAGCACAGAACATCCCAGCTGGACATGTACGCATCTATATATACACAAAGGAAAATATCGTCCTCGTTCATTATAATGTAAAAATACAGTATTGAATGTAAGATTACAATTCAAGTCAAGCGGGTGTTTGTACAAGTACACATACACATGTACATACAATGTACGTCTGAGATTAAATGGTGGCAATGTCTATCATAAATAATTTTTGGAGAGAGAATGAGTTGTAAATTGAATATGAAAAGACAACGGCAATTTGTCCTTCAGGCGTTCTTTAAATATGTTACCAAAGCGTTTAGCATCAGCAGTACGGTTCAACCAGGCAGCTCATAAACCTGCCTACAAAATATCTTGGACAAGAACAACCCAGTTTAGTTCTTTTTCTGCGCGCTTTCTAAACAATTCTATCATTGGGTATGGAATATAAGTCGGTATACGTATTGAACAAGTTGTGTGTGTGTGTGTGTGTGTGTGTGTGTGTGTGTGTGTGTGTGTGTGTGTGTGTTTGTGTGTGTGTGTGTGTG